GGATCAGCATCAGTTTATCCTCTTACTGTCATCTTGCTTTCACGATCAGATATCTGCCTGGAACCTAAGGCGAATGTTTGCATTGATAGCAACATTAATTCCATATGGTGCCATGACACGTCTCTTAGAAGTCTTTAAAAGAACACTCAAGTTTCCAAAGCTCTGTGTCAGATGTGCTGTATTCATTAGTGAGTGCTCTTGTCTTTTTCCAGCCTACTTGGAGGAGATCCAGTCTGTGAGGAGGCACACAAACAGCATCAGTGACCCAAAGAACACCAACCTACCTGTGCTGGTCCACTGCAGTGCTGGAGTGGGACGGACCGGAGTGGTCATCCTGTCTGAGGTCATGATTGCCTGTTTAGAGCACAATGAGGTAAGTTCCTCACAAGTGGAAAATATTTGCGTATTTTCTTGGTTGCTTGGTTTCTCTCATACTAAAAGTCTGTCTGTTTCAGACGCTGGATGTCCCAAAAGTCCTGAAGAAGCTGCGTGCTCAGAGAATGATGATGGTTCAGACCTTGTCTCAGTATACCTTCATCTACAAGGTCCTCATCCAATACCTCCGCAACTCCAGGCTCATATGAGCACAAGTGTCTGTCTCCCCCAGCAAACACAAGTCATCACAGATGACTGTAGGATGGAGTTCACTCCAGGTTTATGCCAAACTGCCCTGTGATGATGCAGTAGCACAAACCTGTTCCATGTAGCGGTCAGTATTTGGTGGTATTAAATCAGGCAAGGCTGAAGGAATGATGTGTGGATATAGAAGAAAGAAGCGATACCACATGAAGGAGCATAAAGACTTATGACCTGCCTCTAAACAGTATTATATTATTTTCTACATACATTATTGCTTAATAAAGCCCAGCACTTTTACAGTACTTTGCTGTACATATTGAACCAATATTAAGCTGCGTTAAAAAAAAATCTTTATTATAGATGTGTATCAAAAACAGTTTTTTTTTCAATTGACAGAGATCACTTTTTAAATAAATATGTTTTGGATTGCTGTTTGGTAACTATTGGTTCTGATAATTAAGGCTTTTTCTGTCGTAAGGAAGACACGGTATCATAAGATTGTCTCATCTGGTTTAATTACGGATCCCAGAGTTCAGGTGGAATTTAACATGTCCATATAGTTAACTTAATAAGAATATACAGATCTACATTCAGCAGAATGATTACAACAAACACCCTGTGATTGGGCAGTTTCTATGTTTAAAAAGCCGTAAGCACTCGCCAAAAACAAACATACATATCCTCTCAGTGCACAAATATCACTGTCCTTACAAAGGGTTAGTAGACGGTTGGTTGGTCTTTGTAAAACACTGGATTGATGGAAAGTAGAAATGCATAACAGGTTCCAGTGGAGAAAAAGAATGACAAAGCAGGTTTATTTTGCGTTGAGAGTAAAACTGGAAAATTAATTTTATACTCATATTTTTCATCCTTTTTTTTTATCTTGAGAACTTTTGGTTGCTGTATTTGAGCTCAATCAATATACTTTTAAATATTTTGTCAGGACAGTGTGTCTGAATATCTGCATTGTAAAGTTAAATGGAGCTGTGTGTATTTTTAAAAAATGTGGAAGAAATGTGGAGGTTCTCTTATTCAGTGTCATTTATTTGCTTGTTTGATTGCAGTGATATGGGTATTAATTCCAATCAATCAATACATTTGAGAAACAGCCCTGCATAAAGCACAAGAATTGCAAACGATAATGATCATAATTATTTAAATTTGGCTTGGACCCCTTGAATTGTGATACTTACTAGTAGTTAAAAATTGGGACGTTAGGCCATTTGACAGTATTGAGATGTAACTAACTGCTGTGCAGCGTGTCGGCTGTGGTGCTCAGTGTGAAGCAGAAAGTGTCAGGGACAGATCATCTCTAGTTACAGTATTCTGCCTGCCACACTTGTTTTCACTCCAATGAGAAATGTCCCTCTGCAGAGACACTTCCTGCTGTTACAAATGGCCTCCCTCACTGTTAGGAACACATTTTAACCATAGCCACACACACAGCACACACACAGCACAGCACGTGTCCTTTTCCTGCTGCAGCTATAGGTGGTATTTAAAGCTTAATTATGAAGTTCACCTGTACAGAAACAATGCTTACAGGCATTACAAAGTTTACATGAACTGAAGTATCTTTTTAACTGTTAATTTGAAATATTTTTGCCTTTTATTATCAATTCAAGGCACCAACTTAAGTTATAATGTGGCCAAAGTAAAGTGATTGTTAATCCCTCATTTGTCTTACCCTCATGTTTTTGTTGTTGGCGACGCATGGGCAGTGATCTTAACTGGAGACAAAATACGTCTCAACAGCTGTTGAGACGTATTTACTGGATCTTTTTAAAAGGCCCATATGAATTTGCTTCAGATTTTGTGTTTTTTGGTTTCAAGGTACTGATTGAGTCTTAGTGTGGAGACTGAAAAGAGTGAGTTTTGTGGCCAAGTTGCAACCGTTTTGTCCATGTACAGGTATGTTGTTCATAATGTACACAATGTAAAATTCTGCTTTTATGAATATTGTTATTGTACAAACTATGTATAAACTGTATCTATTGAACAAGAATGGTATGCCATTGGGAAAAAAAAAACAAGTGTAGAAAATCTTTTCAGCCAAGAATAAATATTTGGAAAAAAATTGCTTTCTTCTGTACGTCAGTCTGTCACGCCACCTTGTGGTAAGAATTAGCTAGTGGCTCTCTCTGTCTCTGCTTGCACTTCACTGTTAATTACATTAACACAAGAGGGGGTTTTACATTACTGGAAGATCTCTTTATTAAATAAATTCAGGTAAAGGGATCACAGTCATGATAGCTGGTACAGAATCTTCAAGAAACTGAGTCGAGAGATATTTTTCAGTCTGAAATATAAAGTATGGATTAATAGAGGAGAGGACGGACACACTTCCCTGTGTTTTAGTCCAATCTTCTAACAGTGTCCTCAGTTTGTTCTGACAGGTAGCAGCAGTAGCAGTCATCATGACGTCTCTTTAGCCAGGGAGAGATTGCTGGTATGCATTCGCCTTTTAAGTATTGTACATGTCCTCTTCAGCATCCTTCAATCAGTTCAGTTACATACATTTTTACAATATTTAGGGTCTTTCGCCATTTTCAGTGTTCAAAAGTCTGATTTCCCTCTGATACCTGAACTATGATGGAAACTGTGTCCCTGTTCCATACTACACACTAATTGTACACAGTATTTACAAATCTTTATTAATCTTCTTCCTATTTTTTATTTTTTTTTGGGCCTTTTATTGCCTTCATTGATAGTGACAGCCGAAGACAGACAGGAAGTTTGGGCTCGGTCGGTAGAGGCTGCGGACCCATGTACGGAGTTTTGCAGCGGCCCGGGTTCGAATGGACCTGCAGCCTTTTGCTGCGTGTCATCCCCCTTCTCTCTGCCCCCCCCCCCCCCCCC